CTTAAAATCACCAGCCTCCCAAGCAGCTAGTAAGCCAGCAGGAGGTTAGTAGGAAGAGAAAGTAATTGTCCTTTGTGCCTCTGAAAATAGCCAATATTAAAGGATCCTCTTATGTATTACCTGCGTTTCAATCTACACTTGTAGCTCAAAGGGAAAGAAAGAGGCTGGAGGAGACAGAAAATAAAGCTGTCAGAAATATTACAGGAGACCCTCCTCAGGCTGCCATGAAGTGTATGGTCTCCTCACCCAGAAACCTGTGCAGCCAGAGAGGATGAGTGCTCTGTAAACAATAAAGAACTCATTCAGACAATGCACTTTACATACACAGAGTGCTGTGCATGTCCCTGGGCATTCAGCACCAGCCTGAAGAGGCCAGAGACCTGGGCAAGGCACTGCAAGAGGGATCCTCAGACACTTATCCAGGATGGCCATGGTGCAGCCAGCACTGTGAGGACTCCACTGTACATAAATCACTGGAAATTCACTTTACATGCAGCCTTTGCTCTCCACACCGTGCCCAAAGCAGGGGGAGTGCAGCACAACCAGCAGCACAATGCTCTCATCCTGACCTGAATGTTGATACCTGTTAGCAACTTTCCCAAAACAAAGCAGGTCTGGCTGCCGATTTCCCTAGTCCTACTGTTTGGTCACAAACCTGCAAGGAAATTTACTTTGGGTCTGGGCACAAGATGAAATAGAAAGAAAACACTCCAAAGCCCCCAGCACTTCAGTGCTGCAGGAAAGGAGCTCACTCTTGTTTCAAGCCTCAGTTCAAACCAAATTTGGGTCTGAACTTGACTATATACTGTATCCTAAGTGATTAACTGGACTGTATCTAATGTCTTAAAGATAAGAACAATTTAAGCAAAACAGATTGCAAAAAACCCCTGAACTTACAGCACAGCAGACTGAAAGGCTTTACAAGGGCCATTCCAGTGGGATGCAGTGCCCACTTCCTCACCAGCAAGATTCCCACTGCCTTCCGTACGAGAACAGCTCTGCCTGCTCAGGGAACATGTGAGGATCTTCATGTTGAAAACAGGAAAAAGAAAACTTCTGTGCTAATAGGAAAAAAATCCTTGCAATAATACTAATCTATTTATAATGGTCAAAAAACATGACAGCTTACAACAGCGTCAGAGCAGCGCTTTGGCAATATTTTAGCATACTGCTGTATTTTTAGAAGGACTGTTCATTTACTTTCTCCAAAATGCTGCAGAGTCCTTATTTTTCAACAAACGATCTGTGTTTTTTTGGTGTATCATTTGCCAACATCAGAGTGTTTTATCTCAGGGTAAGGAGGAAAAAGCACAGCTCCTGCACACAGGCTGCTGTGCAGCAGCACCGCCGGGGATGCCAAATCCCAGCTCCTCCCTGCTCTGCGCAGGGAGAGCTCTGCCACTCACAAACCTCCCTGGAAGGCTCAGCAACACGAAACTGCTGGGTTTCCTCACCCTGAGCCTGGAGGAACTGCCCCACTGCAAACAGCAGGGCTGGCAGTTTAATGGTGTTGCTCAGCCTAAGTGGTTCTAGCGAGCAGCGTGCACGATAAGAGTGCAGGGAGATGTGTTTAAGCACTTTTATGTTTTCTCAGCACAGGGTGCTTTACCATTTCAAAATTCATCTGCCAGCTACGTCCAGTGAAAAACCGTCAAGTCTCACCTGGGCCTACAGGATTGTGACAGCAGGATGGTCACAGTCCCTAAGAGTCTCTACAGCCGCAGCTCCAAGACCTACAGACAAAACCCACAGGCTCCCACTTTCTTTCTAAAAAGCACATACGAGCTTCCATAGCTTACAAAAACTTACACTAGGCTAAATTAAATACATGTGCACCCACATGTTAACTGAATTAACTTGAAGCCATCAATACGTCTCAAATGTCCATCTGTTTACACAAGCCACTTGCAGCTTTCAAGTCTTGTGCTCCTCATAGTGTAACTCTCAACCAAAACAGTCTAAGCGCAAGCAGAAAGCTCTGCTGTGAGATTTCCATGCATAATGACCATGTGTTTATTGGGTTTTCATGTTCAAATCATGTCAGAATAGACATGCTATCCATTTGCAAGATGCAACACATCGTGCCAGCCTCTCCCTCTTCAGCTGCAGAAGCCTTGTAAAACAAAGCTGGCTCTAACCTGGACAGATATTATAGCTAAATTTAAAATATCTCCCTCTGCAATTCCAATGTGATAGCTGTAAACGGTACAGCTTGCAGGACAAAGAATTAATTTCTGAGGCAATAATGTATCTTCCAGATCTGGGAAGGATTAAGAGCAGCAGATACAAGTAGCGGTTTCCAGGTAAGTTTCAGGTGATAAAATACTTTGATGAAAATCTTTGTACTGGCTCTTTGTAAGAAAAACTTTGTACTAGCTCCTCATAAGAAGTCGCCTTTTAATCTGAGTGGCTCACTTCAGCAAGGCTGGGCACAGCTAGCTGGATTTAAACTGGGAGGATGAAAGCCAGCACACATTATCCTACAGTTCTACAGCTGGAATCAAACTTCCTTTCCTAATCTGAACTAAACTTAATATTTCACTCTTTGACAGAAATGGAGTGAAATGCAGCTCTGCTAAAAATAAAAAAAGAACCAAAAAACATTTTCTCTCTAATTTTAGGATGTTGCTGGCTTTCCTTTTAGAAGAGGTCAATGTTTCAGCAATGATAGCAAAAGCTACCTGTGCCAGCATGTGATAGCAGCCTCTCAGAGTAAACGGTTCTCATCAGACACCATCCTCCTGGACGTCCCTACTGTATTGCTGAAGATGAAGATGATTGTGATGTTGAACGCCTACAAATCTCCCACGTGCCTATTTCGTTGGCCTGTTTTGTTTTTCAAAAAAAAAAAAAAAAAAGGAAAGAAAAAAAAAGAGCTCGAGGCCATTATTCATGAGCAGTAAGAAAACAAATCACTCTTAGACCTACTCCTCTTGCAGATTCCCACACTTATTACCCAAAATCCCACAGCTCTCTATTGGTTGTACCCTTGACCAAAGTACAGGGCTGAGGCAGCATGCCATCCCCTGGGAAAAGCCGATCACGTTCCTCCCGGCGAGCGGCTCCGGTTATTCTAGGATCGCCGTCGGGCTGGAATAAAGTCCCCGAACTTTTCAGAGAAGGCAGCGCTCGCTCCCAGCGCCAG